TAAAGCCTTTAGATCTATTACAACATTGTGAAGAGCAGTATCGGGTTTGAATAAACTAGTGATAGCGTACTCAGACCCTAGGATTGAGTAAAGCTGGCCACTCAACCCTCTACCATGGCTATTGCCTAAAAGCAGAACCTTTTTAAATTTATTGTTGCTAGGTTTGGGATCCTTGCACTTCTTGAATAGAGCAACAATTTCTGGCTCCAACACAGTTACTGGCTGAAATTAGTCAGTCAGTTTTGCCTTAAGACTTTCATCCTTAATAGAGCAAAGACTTTTGACTCTGGGTGATGTTTGGTCATGTTTTGGCTTTAACATCAGTCCAAGAAAATGACAAACAGTTACAACCACAACTGAAGCTATTTACATATTTTGAATGATTTAAATTTGTAAAACTACACTCAACTACACTTCACTCAAAATCATTTATTGATACACTTCGCTCGACATCACTTATTGTTGCACTTATATAAATTCACTTACCGATGGGCTCCAATTAAAATTACATTTTTATTTGCTTAAATCTACACGTCACATAACCTAAATAAACAATGTGAATTTGTAAAGCATCGGCTTCAAAAAGGTAAATAATGCACAAGACCTAAGTAACCAAAGTGAATTTATAATAAAGAACTTTTATAATTATATTATAATTACATTCCAATTTCGGCGCCTGTAAGTGCAAAGAGTTGTTTTGCCTACATGGCAGACATATACTTAACCGATCGGCAACAAAACTGCTTAATCTCCTTATTGATAAATTCAAACCCTTTTATAAATATTATATTCATATTTTATAGTTACAAAATAATTAATACGATATATTTTATGTTTTAGATAATCAGTATAGTGCTTCTAAAGACTGAGTAGTATTTACAGTGCTACCAATTATAACCGCCCTGACCACTGAGTGTAAAGGTTGATTTTAGAACTACCTTTCCATCAGTTTCAATTACATCATAAAAGCATCCGTATTATAAAGTTCAGTGTTACGTATACGTGAATATGTATAATGTATGAATTTTCTAATCCCATGACTTAAGCTTAACGAAATTTAGATCTCTGGTGTGGTAACACCTTGATAATGATCTGCTTACTACAATTTCGTTACATTCCACAGCTCAAGACCCTGATCTATTTTAAATAGCAAACTAAGATGATCAGTGATTGTAGTCCACATTTTCTCAAGAACGATTCGTATTAACTCAAGCACCGAACCGAAATTATAATCGAACTTAACTTAGAAGCAGGAGGAAGGTGGAATGAAAATAAATACGTTACCCCTATTTGAGCGATATCTAAGATTGTAGTTGCAAATTGCTTTCGTCGGGAAAGTCATGGAGTCCACTATACGTCTTCAGAACAATTTAATGTTCTTCAACCACGCAGCAAACATTAATAATATGGTTGCTGGGATTTTGGACACCAACACGCAAACATAAATAACATTCCATAGCAACTAATTTGTATTGTTGGGATGTTAGACATAACATGTATACACAGATAACGTACCTTAGCAACGAACAGAGAATTGTTGCGTTTATGTTGGCCATGTGTTATTTGTAGATTGTTAACGCCACAGCAGTGAGTGGTGTTTGAGATTATTCATATCACGTAGTATTTGTTGGTAAACGATGACTGTACATAACCTATACATATTTGACCGTTTTGGCACGTTGTTGTACTACTGTGAATGGAACAGGTTAAAACAATCCGGTATCACGAAAGAAGAGGTAAAGGAAATATACTTTACTACGGCTTCAGTTATTTAATTTATAAGTAATAGGCGAGGCTAGCTTTTTTAATATAAATTGACAAAGTGTCTCTTCATGGTGAGTGACCATGATGTTAAAATGTGATTTTGACCATGTCAACATTTTCTTCTCTAATTTTTTTTGAACAGTTGCAAAAATTGAAGATTGGCACAAAAGTTAGCATTTGTATGAGGAAGGCTCAGCTGACAAATCAATTTGTGTTACTGAAGTAATACAAATTCAGTATAACATACGTCATGTCCCTTCATCACAGGACTACATATAAATAAATTATAAATTGATAAAAATGCAGGTAAAACATGCACAGCAATTTACTGAAATTCATTCTGGGCATCACGTCAGAAGTGTGAATGTTTGAGAGAATCTAAAGTTTTATGTGACTGCCTGGCTTTGTATTTTACAACTTGGGGAACAGTTGTTGATCAGATTGTTATATGAAATGAAATTTGTACACATTGCCCTCAACTGGCATGCCTGAAAAACCCCACTTTGTTATTTAAGGGTGATTGAACAGCACAACTATAGGTTTACATGGGACTCATTTGCATATTTACTTTCCATTAATGAAAATGTTTAATGTGTAATCAGAAATAAGATTTTAGAATTAGCAAGTTAATATTTCCTGGGGCCACGACTACCAGAAGCTTGGTGCTCATTTGGGAGTTTATCTTCGTTATACTTGACTGGACTTCGATGACACCATTTGCAGTGTTAAGATATTCTTAAAAAGCAAAAGGCATCACTATGATAATGGTAAATTTGCAACCAACTACATGTCAAACCAGAGATATTGCAGGAGCTACATTCACAGTAGGACTGGTTTCTCACATCTCAGGCATGTGTCCAAACCGTATGTTTTTTTACCATAAACAAGAATGTTACCTATCATAACTAAACGTGTCTAATTCTATCTTGTCTTGACTAATCGGTTGCAGTTTACACGAGATTAATACAAAAACACTTGATGTCCTAATGTAAACTTATCGATGTTCAAGAAAGGGAATCTAATGCCACTTCCTGCTCTTACCCATGCTGACTTGCAGTCTAACACTGCAGCTTAATGACTAGGAAATGTGGGAACTGACTTAGTAATCACGCAGAGCAGAAAGGCCATGCCAAAAAATAGTGGCCATATATCTTCGTTGTACATGAAGATACCGAGACTGCGTATGAACTCTAATAGGAAACTGTTCATCTTCATTTTGTGTAATTACATCTGCTTTATTCTTTTGCAGGAAGCCAAGTTAATGTATGGTATGCTGTATTCAATCAAGTCGTTTGTTAGTAAAATATCTCCCCTCGACACAAAAGAAGGGTTTTTATATTACAAAACCAACAAATATATCTTACATTACTTTGAGACACCATCAGGTCTCAAATTTATCTTGAATACGGATGTGAACGCCCAAAATGTCAGAGAACTTCTGCAGCAGATTTACAGTCAAATCTACGTGGAATATGTGGTGAAGAATCCAGCGTGCAACATGAAGGAGCCGATTAAGAGCGAACTATTTAAGAGTAAACTAGACGCATTTATCAAGCAATCAAATGTTTTTGCACCCAGAACAATGTAATGTTCATTTTCATGAGACATTCTCTAAATGAGTAACTGTAAATTATTAAAAGATTGTACTTCAGTTGGGATATTCACTGTTTGAGTAACAATAAAGTTCTGAATAGAAATTATGTACAGAAATGGTTTATTCTTAAATTATGCAAACATTGCAAGATCAATACAAACCTATCTCAACAAGCAAACTGGGGAAGAAGCTATAATATTGCTTTTTAAACAAATGCAACGTTACTGATGCTGAATGACCTATGTTCAAAATAAAAATCACTCACAGTTTAAAGATAGTCTGTTTTTTTTTCTGTCAGGACATGTTTGGAGATTCACACAAAGACGTACAACTTGAGTAAGACACAGGTGTGGTGTTTCTTTGAACACTGTTGAACAATCCATTGTAGCTGTACAACATGTTACCATTCTTGCAAGTCCATTCTCTCCATCCATACTTGATATAATTATATATCAGGATACATTTCTTGAAGTTCACAACAGTTGGTTTTCAGCATGTAACAGAAAGCTTTTTTTCAGTCATCATTTGGTACTTACTCTACAGTTACACAGACATATCCAGTAAGAGTTGCTAGTAATGCGTACACGAACCATCAAAGAAACTGAAATTAAAACTGTCTCAACTGAACCTAAGCATTATTCAGGATAAAGAAACAAAAACACTGATCAGAAAGAAGTGTATATCTAAGGAATATTGTTTATTAAAAAAGGGCACTTTGTTATTCTGAAGTCCTACGCTCTGCCTCGACTCGCCATTCCATGTGCGGATCGTGTGTACATAAACGCACTCCAAACATAAATCTGGACACAGCACACACTACACAACTGACCAATTGGTACTAGAGATACATCTATACTCGGAAAGAAATATTGCATCGTAACAGAGCTGCTATTCTGTTCTGTATAAGTTTTCTTTCTTTCTAAATAACAATGTACTGAATCTTAATGCTGTAATCTTCAAAAGACCAAATTCATACACCAGAATAATGGATATCATCAATGTGTGTTACGCTTTTCTACATAAAAACAGAACATTTACACTGTGCCATGACTACTGAGGTCAGGAAACCACACAAATATATCAAATGTAAACAGGGGTGGAAAAATATGATAGCAACTTTTCCCATGTTCTACGCACAAGATTATTACGGCTTCATTCTGCTATGCAGTAAGCTTGACCAGAGAGCGAGCTTATGAGCACAACCATTATGAATGAAGTATGGAAATTTATCTTTGTTCTTTCACTGGCCAATATGTAACAAGAAAATACTGCTCACTAAGAGAACACAAAGTTAACAAGTCATTGCAGGCCGTCTCTGTCCTAACTGCAGAGCATATTTTCTGCAAGGTTCTCCAGTTAAGATATAAAGATGCAGTGGTACAAGCCAGGAAATATTCATCAAAACAATTATATGCTGCATGAAGAACACTACAACAGTTCATGTATACCTGCATCAGATGTGTTATTTATAACAGTTCTTACAAATAACAAAAAAGGTATGTGGTATACAAAGTCTGAAAAGAATCATATACATTATTACTTAAACATTAGGTATTTTGCAAAATGCGTTAAATAAATTGGTAGCGGAACAAATATTTGTTCCGACTATAATTCATTAACATGCCAGTAAATCTTCACAAAACATAAAATGCCAATTTCCCAGATACTGGACATTGAAAGAAATTCTGTAAGTTGTTTAAAATGTGGTTTTAAATCTAATTTTCTCTTCTGTATTCACCTTACAAGTTAAAGCTCTCAACTCATCACTAGATTTGTTAGCATTCAACAAATTTCAATCTCTGCTGCAACTACAGGTAAAAATGTTAAGTAACTCCACTATGCAAGTAACCAAACTTGAGACAATAAATACTAGAAGGAACATCTGAATACTGCTGTTATGCAAACTTTACACACAGCTGCCTCCTACAAAGTGAGCTACAGTATTCACACAAAAATGTCATTCATCAGGAATAATAAATCTTGCCCTTTACTATGTTACGAACCCAAAAAAAAAAAAAGTTTCATTCTGCTCTACAAAATGAAAGGAGGAAATAAGGGAGGGTTAAATTTTGGTAGCAAGTATAAAAAAAGGCAACCATGAGCTAGCCCTGAACAAGAGGGAAATTTCTTGTGTGTTGAGGCACTGCTGCACTGTATATATAAAGTGCAAGATGAGTGAGCATCCATCACACCTAATTCTTGTGCCTTCCTATCACAAAGTGATGGGGTAGCTTTATTAACTGAAAACCTGCAATAGGGTTTCTTTCAGCTATGTATCAACCTAGATTGATAAGAACTTTCACCAACATGAAAAGAAAACATTTTAATTACTCAATTTGGACTCAAAATCTTGCAAAATGTTTTGTAAAAATGCAAGATTTCAAGGAGAACATATCAAGGAGAACCAAATTACACAAGAGTGGGATACTAGTGTATATTTATCACTGGACAATTCACAGAATGTAACTTTCAGTAATTTATAAACCCCATATCAATCCCACATGTGGTTAAAGCATTAGCCTTCTGTGAATATGATCTAAAGGTCCCAATTACCATTTTCTTGGCACTTTGTTCTTAATATAAACCATGTATACATTTTCCATGTATTCCTGTTTTAATCGTAGATGAGAAATGTCCAGAACTACTGTGCAGTTTGTCAAACATTGTGCGTCTGAGACAAAATTGCACAAGCCTAGACAGATGTGCCATTGACCATTGTTTCCTTGGCTTTGCCTTCAGATCGCTTAGATGCCGGTGGCCTCTGACTGCGGGATTTTGGTTCTCTCTGAGTTTTAGGTGGCCCTTCTGCAGCTGGTGTTCCTTCTTTGCTTGTAAATGCAGACTGATCACTGGGGCCTGGGGCAGCACCACCACCTGTCAACATAATACTGAACATTCTAGGCTACCACACTGCCAGGTTACTATAGAAAACATTAAACACGACATTTTAAGAACCAAGATTCATTGTTTTTATTTAAACGAAGTCTTGTCCATCCACGTAATCAAAATGTACTTCATACGAGAGTTCCTGTTGTAGATGTGGCTCATTCTCTGATTTGGTTTATTGTATAAAAAATAAGACTCACCCTGTATATCAGCATTACCTCCTGGAAGGTGGTCACTAGGCCCGCAGTCCACATGCTCGCCCGAGGGCGTCTGGCTACGGGGCCTCGTCCTACGTCTACGACGGCGTCGACGGGTGCGGGAACCCTCCACACTCGACACTGATTCTACATGGGACAGGACACACAGCCGTTTGTGACCAGCACTAACCTCAAAACCTGTACCTTTTCATTGCATTCTATAGCAAACGTAAATTTTGCCTTGTTCATAGGATTTCTATATGTAAGTTGATGGAACTACAAAGAGTATACAACACACTATTCTTCTCAGATCATAGAAGTGCTTCCTAATTTTTATCATTAATTCATTTAATTACTTAAAAGTTTCAAGCAATGAACCTATTTTAAGTTACTGGAACAAATCACAATGGTTGGTGACATCTGAGAACTGAATCATAAGTAACTCAGTTGTAAAACATTTAATCATTACAAACATTTATTACATGTACCTAAGATTATTAGTACATTTTTAAAACAATGGAAGAAGGGTATATAAAAGCACACAGGTAACCTGGTGCGTAATGCCAAGAATGAATGACTTTTGTGAACTCGGAAATACTTGTAATGACAAGAACGAATGACTTTTGTGAACTCGGAAATACTGCATTACAGTTAAATTCACTATGTGATGCAGATATAATGCAGCCTGGCTACAAGGACTTAAATTACCTGTAACTGTTTCCAGCCTGGCTACACATAATAAATCAAATTTAAGGACTTAAATTACCTGTAACTGTTTCAGAGTTAGGTGACACCTGTAAAAGGTGGCTTCACATTTTGAATTTTCTACATGGGTTAGTAAGAATCACATGCATTGTTTTCAAGTAAAGTAACAGCAGTGTTACATACTATAACATGGTCATTTGCTATTTGATTATGTTACTGATGGTCACAAATGGAGAACTG